CAGGGAAGCAGAAAACAAGCTTGCTCCCTCCTCCCTGTGGCTTCCTCTCACATATTTATAAATGGCTATCATATCTCCTCTCAGCCTTCTCTTCTTCAGGCTAAACATGCCCAGCTCCTTAAGCCGCTCCTCATAGGGCTTGTTCTCCAGACCCTTGATCATTTTAGTCGCCCTCCTCTGGACACATTCCAGCTTGTCAATATCTCTCTTGAATTGTGGTGCTCAGAATTGGACACAATATTCCAGATGTGGTCTAACCAAAGCAGAATAGAGGGGTAGCATTACTTCCTTAGATCTAGAAGAATCTGATGTCACGAAGAGTCAGAGACGACTGAACGAATGAACACCCTCTGTCATGAAGGAACACACAATCAAAGCCCTTCCAAAAGATAGCCATCAAGCCTCTGCTTAGAAACCTTCAGAGAAGGAGGGCATTTCCAGACAGCACTAAAAAAAAATCTGGGACTTCAGAAGAGGTCCACATACAAACCTGTTGGTCCCAGGATTTCTGCCTCCATTGTCCATACTCGATGCTTTGTTGCAAGATTTAGAGCAGTGTTTCTCAACCTTCCTAATGCCGTGACCCCTTAATACAGTTCCTCATGTTGTGGTGACCCCCAACCATACAATTATTTTCGTTGCTACTTCATAGATGTCATTTTGCCACTGTTATGAATCGTCATGCAAATATTTGATATCTGAAGGAGTGGCAGACAGCACGAAAGGAGTGGAAATAATAATAATAATAATAATAATAATAATAATAATAATAATAATAATAATAATAGAGGAAGGAGGCTCACAGGCCAGATTTTCATCCTTGAGGCCCACTGGTGGTCCACAGGTTAAGAACTGCTGATCCAGATGATGTAGCCTAGAATTGTATTGATTTCCTTCCTTGGTTCACTTTAATAGTTTCTCACTCAGTTGCTCCATACTCTTGGAACTGCCTCCCTGAGCATTGATATAGGCGCCGCCTGCCAGTGTGGCCTGACTTTTCAAGGAGCCAAGCATAGTGTTTGTGTATATTTATAGTTATGTCCTGGCATGGAATGCTTGTCGTATACATGTTGTGCTCCGCTCTGAGTCCCCTGTGGGCTGCAGGGTGAGAAAGGTGGAAAAGAAATGTTTCAAATAAATAAATAAATAATAGTGCTTGAACCCTCGATGTTCCGGATTATTTATTTATTTATTTATTTATTTGCAGTACTAGCTGTCCCCTGCCAGGCGTTGCTGTGGCCCAGTCTGGTGATCTGGAAAATAAAGTAATTAGAAAGTGTTGGTTTATAAAATATGTAATTTCTTTCTGCTTGTGGGTAAACAGTAGGCCTGGGCGGTTTCGTTCGTTAATTTTGTAATTCGTTAAATATTCGTTATTTTTAGCAT